CCTTGAAGGGTCTGTCTGTGATGTGTGAGATTGTTAAGGGAACCAGTGCAAGCTCATCCTTTTGCAGGCTGTTCGTCTTGTCTTCTATGAAGGTCTTTTTGTTCCACGGAGGGAGAATTCTAAAATGACTCCCCACCCCCCATGACCCTTACCCTTATCAAATCCTCTGCCCTTTAGTTGGACTGGAATCAGATGAAATGGAATTGCCATAAGTAGGTTATGTTACATGGCACAGTTGACTTTAAAAAGATAGATTAGGGCTGGAGGGTGGCTCAAGTGGTAGAGCACCTGCCTAGCAAATGTGAGGCCATTAGTTCAGATCCCAATACCCTAAAAGAACCCACCCAGCCAAAAAAAATAGATTATCCAGGTAGACCCAACCTAATCATAGGGAAGTTTTTTTTTTGTGGTACTAGGATTTGAACTCAGGACCAATGCCTTGAGTCACTCCACCAGCCCCTTTATTTGTGTTGGGTTTGTTTTTCTGAGATATGGCCTCTCAAACTATTTGCCCAGGCTGGCCTCAAACCACAATCCTCCTGATCTCTGCTTCCTGAGTAGCTAGGATTACAGTTGTGAGGCACCAGACCTGACTTCAGAGGGAACTTTTAAAGGCAGAGAATTTTCTCTGCCGGTAGCAGAAGAAGAGATCTGAATTCATTTTTCCTTCTTCTTTTTTTTTTTTTTTTTGGCTTTTGGTGGTACTGGGGTTTGAACTCAGGGCCTTGTGTTTGCTAGGCAGGTGCTCTACCACTTGAACCACGCCTCCAGCTGCTATGAAGGAGAGAAAATGGGAAGCCTGGAATGGATTTGCTATTGAGCATCTATAATCCTAGCAATTTGGGAGGCTGAGATCGGGAGGATCACAGTCTGAGGCCAGCCTGGACAAATAGTTCTCGAGAACCCCATCTCCAAAAAACCAGAGCAAAATGGACTGGAGGTGTGGCTCAAGCCGTAGAGCACCTGCTTTTCAAGTTCAAAGCCCTGAGTTCAAATCCTAGTCCCACCAAAAAAAAAAAGGTGGTTTAAATGATACATTTTATGTTATGTATATTTTACCATAAAAATTCTTTTTGTGCTGCTTTGGTGGGGCTTCAGAAAGTGAATGGTATTACACGGATGTGTTGAATTGACTATTTATCCAGCACCCCCAGGAGTTATTTATGAGAGAGTGTTTTATTTGCAAAGTATAGTTTTCTCGTTTTATCATTGACTGGTAGTTATGAGATGATCAAAAGAGTGATTTACAGGGCGTAGCTCAGAGGTGCAATAAAAGACTGGAGTTTACTGACACTTTCTATGTGCCCAGTTTTATGGTCTTTAATAATCATGGTACTACGTTTATTTAGTGCTGACTTACGTGTTGTCCTAAGAACACTTTCTACCCAGAAAATACCCAGTTTCTCTTCTCTGTCTCTCTTTTGGTGGGACTGGGATTTGAACTCAGGGCTTTGCACTTGCAAAGCAGGTGCTCTACCACTTGAGCCACACCTCCAGTCCATTCTGCTCTGGTTAGTTTGGAGATGGGGTCTCGAGAACTATTTACCCAGCCTGGCCTCAGACTGCGATCCTTCAGATCTCAGCCTCCAAAGTAGCTAGGATCACAGGCGTGAGCCACCAGCACCTGGCTCCTAGTTTCTTTTGCTGTCTGTGTAGAGTATGGGACCATTTTCCAGATAGGGAAGCTGAGGCTTGGAGAGGCCAAGTAACAGCTGAGCTGCACCAATATTAATGCAAATATTTTCTTTCTAGACAAACGTGTTTCGACAACTCAAGTGAATAGGTCAATTTGGAGCAAAATGAACCTTTCTCCACCTTGAATGTTCTGATTTGTAGGAAATACAACTTTCAAAAGCAAACTCAATCCTCACAGGGAAACAATGTGGAAGATGCTCATGCTTAATGCAGATGCTAGCTTCCATTTAAGGGGGGGCTTCCAGGTGCCAGGCACTTTCCATAAATTATATGGAACCAGGATTTGACTCAGGGCTTGACTCTATCACTTGAGCTATGACTCCAGCCCTTTTTTGTTTTAGTTATTTTTCAAGTAAGTTCTTCCATCTTTGCCTGGGGCTGCCCTCAGACCACGATCCTCCTACCTATGCCCTTCTGCACAGCTGAGACTATAGGCATGCACTATCATACTCAGTTTATTGAGTGAGGTGGTGGTGGTGGTGGTGAAGGTTCCTCACTCTTTTCCTGGGCTGGCCTTGAACCAGGATCCTCCTGATCTCTGTCTCTGACATAGCTGGGATTACAAGTGTGAGCCACCATGCCACAGGTGGGGATTTGAACCCAGATGGGGCACAGAGTCTGGACCTTTTGCACTGCATCAGTGAAGAACAGCTCAGCACACGGGTCACCAAGAGACCCAAGCCCTCCCACAGGCAGCTTCCAGCAGCAGAGCCGAGAGGGGCGAACAGAACTTGACTCCTGGGAGAACCAAGAATGGTGGACTGCGGGCAATTGCAGTTAGGGAGAGATGGGGGCATAAGAAGGGGTCCCCCAAAACTCCCTCTGCCCTGGGGACTGTGCTGGACCCAGCATGTGTGTGAAGGTTGCCTTGCATCAGCGGGTACAGGGCAGACACTGTCAGCAAGGATGGGAAGAAAGTCACTTCCTGCCTCCCTTAGGATCTAGGATACAAATAACACAAAGCAGCAAGCAAACAGAGATTGGAATCGATGGTGTGTAGCCCTGTAGGAAGAAGAGTCCAGAAACTTGGAGGTAAAGACCATGTTCCCAGACCTGGGCGGGGATCACGGGCTGAAGGTAAGGATGGGTTAATGGTACTCGTCTGCCCTCTCGTGGGCACATGGGGAAATGACACCGTATTTAATTTGCCCAATTTACTGTCATCCCTGGGTGTTCTGTGGATCCCCGTGGATCCCCAAATCCACGGATGCTCCAGTTCCTTATAGAGCATAGTGTGATATTTTCGTAGAAAATACTTCTGTGTACTTTAAATCCTGTCTAAGTGACTTATAATACCTGACACAATGTAGGGGCTGTAAAAATAAGTGCTACACTGCATTAAGGGAATAATGACAAGAAAAAAAATCTGTCCACCTTCAGTACAGACACAAGTCTTTTTTCAACAAATTTTTTGGTGGGGTTGGGACTTGAACTCAGGGCTTTGCGCTTGCTAAGCAGGCATTCTACCACTTGAGCCTCACCTTTGGTCCACTTTACTCTGCTTATTTTGGAGATAGGGTCTTGTGAACTGTTTGCCCAGGCTGGCTTTGAACTGCAATCCTCCTGATCTCAGCCTCCCAAGAAGCTTGGATTACAGGCATGAGCCACCAGTGCCTGGCTTTCTTTCAAATATGTTTGGTCCATGGTTGGTTGACTCCATAGACACAGGACTGGTAGATATGGCGTGTGGCCTGTATAACTGTGCGCCCATTGTGGAGATTCTGTGTGTCCATAAAGAAGGTCGCTGAAGGTCTCACAGTGCCAGTGGCAGGTCATGGGTCATTCCATGTTCCTACAAGCACTCTTAACCTTCCTCTGATTGGATGAAACCCTATGAGGCAGGTAAGGGTGGAGGGAGGCCCCACAGGTGTCAGCCCTGGCCGGGACTCTCAGCTCAGCCCCATTGCAGCTATGTGAACTTGGAAATTTTCTTTTTTTGTTTTTGGTGGAACTGGGGTTTGAACTCAGGGCTTTGCACTCGCAAAGCAGGTGCTCTCCCACTTTAGCCATACCTCCTGCTAATTTTGCTCTGGTTGTTTTGGAGATGGAGTCTCGTGAACTGTTTACACAGGCTGGCCTCAAACTGCAATCCTCCAGATCTCCGCCTCTCAAGTAGCTACAATTACAGGCATGAGCCACCAGCGCCAGACTCCTTGGAAATCTTTAATCTCTGCTTCTACCACTAACTGGTCACCTGCACATAAGCGCTCCCTCTTGGTACATTCAGGCTTGATGGTTTTATTGGGTAGTTCTTTTCTTTCCACACTCCCAATGAAGTTTTGCTTTCCAGGGAGGCAGACAGCATTTTCCGACATCTCTCATTAGAAAAGCGACCTCCAGACAGCTGAACCTAGCAGGTGGAGCATGGCCTGTACATCTAAAGTTATTCTACGCACAGAGGAAAGACCATGGGAGGACCTAGCCAAAGGACGGCCACCTGCAAGACGAGGAAACCCACCTGGCTTTGATCTTAGATTTCCAGCCTCCAGACTTTGAGAAAACAACTTTCTGTTGTTGCAGTAAAAAAAAAAAAAAAATTCTATTTCTTCCCTGCCTACTTCAAAAAAGGATTTTAAAATGGAATAAGGCCTGTGGTTGGGATACTGGTATTTTAGCAATGCCAGTTTCCTGGTGTTAATGTTATACGGATGTATAGAGTGTCACCAGTGAGGGAGG